CACTAAACGAATGATGTTCGAGTTTTATAATAAAAAAATAGACTCAATAAACGCAATTGGCGAAAAATATTATTGTCATAACTAGATTATGTTTTATTTTTTTTTTTATTATCATTATTATTCTGTATTATTATACATGTATGTGGTATATAGATATTCTGAATCCAAAACAATATGTGATCAGTATAAAATATACATTATGTACTACTGTATAAGATACGTGAATAAATTGATGGAACTATTTATATAACAGTTGCAATCATCACGGTTATTACACGGAATATGTATACAATTTTTTTTTTTTTTTATATAATAATATATCATTTTTATTATACGCAAGTTATAGTACCTCTTATTATAAAAATATTCAAACTTCGTATATAATGCCTCCGCACTTACATAATATAGGTAATGATATTTACTTATACATATTATTCTATCTTGTTGTTGATCTTGAGTTCATTAACAATGTGTTCTGTTTGAGATTTTTATAGATAAACGCTTACCTGTGAAGAAAATATTCATAATAATTCTTAAGTTTGGATCTCACTTTTTTTTTCCCATTGAACTAATATTGTTGAATATATCATCGTTATATCGATCACGTCACCATATGATTATTCGCATTTGAAATAATATCCTATACATTAATACGAATCAATGTATAATATTAGAATCTAATAAAATGATTAATTTTGTGCGTATAGTTAGACGAAAATAAATTTATTTAAACAACACTAGTTAAGGCGTCGTTTAAATCTAATAATTTGTTATTTTTTCAACCGATAAATAGGTATTTAACTAAACATTTTTAGATTCTGAGAAAAACAATAAATATATCGATTTTACAATAATGTGTATTTTTTTTTGTCTATTATTACCTTTTGAGGCAGTAGAAATGCTTTGGTTTTGAACTTTAGGCTGTAATTTTTGGTAGTAAATTAGATGTAGATGGTACTTATTTTTTATTGGAGAGGAGTCAAAAGTAAAAATATTTTATTTTTCTTCAAACGATTATGTTCTTTTTTTTTTTTTTTTTGTTACAATTCAAAAATGAATAATCGTAGATACTTTATATATATATATATATATATATATATCAAACATTAATAACAATAATATTTTATTGTAGAAATTATATTTGTTATTAAAATTAAATATCAATAATTAAATGAATGTAATGGTTTTGTTAAAGTTAAATTATCATACCCTTAATCTATTAGCAAAATAAATTACTTTGACAGAGAAATACCAAATGATATATCAAGAAATTTACTCAGTAATATAAATTGGTTGACTGTCTCCGTTTAGAATCGTCTTTCATTTGCAATGATATATCAATGAACTCAAATTTAAAATATCCATTAAAGTAATCCACTACTAGAAATTAGTATACAACAAAATTATACCCACTTCTTTACTTATTTTTTTAAAAATAAATATTTAAAAAAATAAAGAAGTATTTTAAAATTATTGTCAAATTATTGTAGGTTAGATTAACCATACGTCCTGTATTATATAGGATTGTCCTTTATTTCAACTTTATGTCTTGTTGTTCTGACTATCTTCTTTCAAGATGCTTTTTGTCCCGTATTTTCAAGTCTGTCTCGTATTAATCCCGGTTTTTGCCTTACTGTTATAATTTATAACTTTTGAAATTGATTTTAGAAAAAAGCCGTTTTTTACGGTATTTTTGTATAAAATTATTGAATAGAATAATATAAAAACCTAAACTTATCAGTATTATTTTTAGATTTTTGTTTTTACCAAAATTATAGCTGAATCACATTGTTGTCGGCGACGTAAACTGAACCAACGTATAATAGTATTATATTTACCGACCAGGAGTGACCGGCCGCAACCTGTTCCTTATAAAATGTTTATTATTATAATTATTATTTTATTATTTATAAATAAATAAATAAATATTTTATTACTCTGAGTATATCCCAATTATAATAGCTCCATGTTGAGCACAAGCGTCGTCACACATATTTTGAAATTAGAAAAATCTTGGTATGCTATAATCGGATTTCAGACTGATAGGAAACCCGAAAAACAGTAAGCGTAAAGCAATGTCATGTTTTAATTATTGTAAAATCAAAAACTTGAAAGTTTATTTAAATTCTGAAGTATTTCCCTACGAAGATTTTCAAAGCCACTTTATTAAGAACAAGATGGCTACATTATGTATATCGCATATATACTGAGTTCCAGAAATCCAATTATGGTCGTGATAATGTTAGTCCTCTAATAAGTCAATCAGATTTCAAAAAAACTATCGCCGATTATAATTGTTGTGGATAAGACTATATGAGCAGACAAAACGATAATGGAAAAATGTCAGCTGTTGATCTAAGGACTGAGATTGAGACCTAAGAAGCGTTTCAGCCTCCACCCTCCACTTCAGCATATTGCTTAATATTAAACGTCCAAATTATAACTTATAATCCATTTAATAGCGAAGTAAGAACAATGTAAATATTTATTGTAAAACTTAATATTATTTCAATGAATAAAAATCGAGTTTTATAAAATATATCATGTCTTTATTTCACATAAATTGTTAATACAACTGTGCTTAGAAGGGTGGATACTACACTATATGACGGGTGGGAAGGGGGGCACAGCCGAGCACGTAAGTGATAGACATGGATAGGAGTGGAGGGGCTGGGCCGAGTATGGCTGAGTACGCACGTGATAGCAAGGGCTATAAGCTGGGCAGAGTAGCTGTATTAACTGGTTTTTCGGGGGATCCAGAATATAATAAAACATATACTGCTAACGTGGATCGACAGTGCTTTTTGGGTTCAGGAGATCCACCGGCAATTCACTGGACGGCGTGACTTATGAGCAGCGGTTATTATGAACTTATCTTATTGAAATGGATCGTATTGTTATTAGTAATTATGTTAATAACGTTACCTGACCCAATGTAAATGTTCGTTATATTAAAATATTCTTTGTTTTTCGAAATATTTTGTCTAATGGTATGATGTAGTTTGGAAATGTAGGAGTACTCTTCAGTAAGGGTTAACAATATGTTGCTATAATTTTTATCTAAAGTTTCTATAATTAGTAATCCTTGTTTTTCTACTTCATTATTTTTTTCTTTAATCCCATCAATTTCTTTTAATATTGCTTTGGTGTTTTCTATAGTCGTTTTATTCATTGGTTCATTAAAAAAAAAAAAAAAAAAAAATTAAAAATTTTAATAATTTTTATACATTCTAATCTTAGTACTTACTAATTATGCAATTAAATATATATTATCAGCCAAACTAAAACATAATAAAAAAACTAATATGATATTTTTTATGTTAATTTTTTTTGTTTTAACATCTACGGTATAATTATCTTCAATCTAAAAAAAAAAAAATACGTAACAATACTATTTCCAATTACAAATTACTGGAAAAAACATTATAATATTATATGTATACTTACATTGATTATTATACAAGAATTCATTATTTCGAACTAAACACAATTTCGAAAAATGAATTACACAATGGTTATGTATTTAAATATTTACAGTTTAGCCTTAAACTTAACTAAGTGTGATTATTAGCTTTTGTTAGTTATTAGCTAGGTTACATATATAAAAAAATATAATAATAATACGCAACACGTATTTATAAATTATAAGTATAACCGATGTTCGAGGTGGCCGTGTTGCCTATACAAGACTTGCGACTGGCACTCACAATGATCATCGACTAACGGTTCACAGGTAGTGACTAAAAGATTATATGCCATTCTCTCGTTATCGAAAATATAATATCCGATAATGAAATTTAATTTCATTTATAACATACCACCCGCCTTGAAATACCATTTCAAATCTACAGCTGACAATTAATTAAAAACATATTATAAATAATGAGTTTACTGACTGGGTACCGTTTCTAAAATTTACAATTTTTTTTTTTTTTAAGTAAAATAATAAAATACGTGATTAAAGGAAATTTTAAAAAAGTATTAATTGAGTTTAAACATATTTTATGTTTTTCAAAATAATGTTTCTATGTGTTTAAATTTAAATTTTTAATAATTTAAAAATTATATTTTTTCACAATTAAATATAAACAAAAAAAAAAAAATTAATAATATTTTATTTTTTTAAATATGGCCATCCTATTGTAGGTATTAAAATACTGTTCCTGTTGTTTTCATCCTTTTATTTGTTTTTTTTTTTTTATAAAATAACAATATAATCTAAGTTTCTTAAAAATAAAAATATTTCAGCTATTTAAGCTTCCTAATTATTATTTTATTATTAACTAAGATAATCATTAGATATTATATAGAACATATAACGTATTGATATATACAGAATGATTCACCAAGAAGATTGTCTCTATTTTTTCATACCAATATTTTTATACAAATTTTTATTTTTAAATTGTCTGTGGTATTTTTAATTATTTAAATTATTATACCATTTAAAGAGTTTCCTTTGATTATATAAACTTATTTTTTTAACAGGAACCTACCTATTTTGTAATAAAATTTTAATTAAATGACTTAATTGAAAATATTGTCATCGTTTGTTTGCCATTAATTGTTATCTTAGTACCTTAAGTTAAAAAAGGTGTTTTTTTTTTTTTTTTAAATTAAAATGTATAAACATTAAAATTTTCAAAAAATATAATTGTCTTTGTAACTTGTACGTTTTGGTACTTGAGGTGACTTACATTTTAAAAACTGAAGTTTGTTTCACTAAAAGACATTCTTTAAATTATATAAGTAAAGCATTTGAAAGTATTTTCTTTACGTATTGATAACTTAAAGTTCCAAATATTAAAACTTAATATATTTTTTGTTAAAGAAAAATGTGAAGTAAAATTTACTTGGTGAATCACCCCGTACTCGTATATGTGTTTAATACTTTTACAAAAATTGCTCCATACAAGCTAATCATTTTGTGGACGTAAAATAAATATATTCATCAACATTTTTGTATTTTTTTTTTTTTTAACTTTATTTTCTGATTACAGGGTAATAAAGTTGCACTGAAAACACTAAAGAGATCGCGCTTGGAGTTGACGCGTTCTCGCCTGCTGGAATTAAAAAGGGTATGTAGATAACTTAATTCGATGTTCAAAAGTCAAGGGTGTGTGAATGTATATTTTAACTATATATACATGGACATTTGAATGTTTGATGTTTATATACGCATGAAGTGACCCTGGTGATATATAATTAATTTTAATATCCTGTACTTTTGTGAGTATGTTTAATACAGCGTTTTGCTAATGAAATGGATTCGTTCTTAGAGAAAATTGATCTCGTATATTTTCATTCTCGACCTAATTTTTTTACTATATTTTATTTATAAAAAGGTCTATACGGTGTAAATACATATTGACGATAATATAAAATAAATAATAAATAAGTAACTTACAAATTATTCAAATTATATAAATAATACTAATATAATATTATGTGTATAATTGCAAGTATATTGTAAATATTATTAACAGCAATGCCCATCGTAAACCTAGCTCAAAAAAAAAAAAAAAAGTAGTAAAATACCAATTATAGAATATATTTTAAAAATATTTTGGAAAAATAAATTGAAAATTGTATTTAAAAATGTAAGAAAAAAAAGATTAAGACATAATGTGGAAATAAAAAACAACAATTTTAAGATCATTTAAAAACTAATTAGAAAAAAGTGATATCTAACGGAGTAATTGAAATGGATTATGATACTGATGTAATGGTTATCGATGATTACGAATTTCGATGAAGCATGGGAGATAATACTAATAATGAAGTTCCGAGTTTACAAACTGCTGTATAATTAAAAGTTATATATATATATATAACACTATCAAAACATATGTATTTTATATAATATGGTATTAGGGTGATATGTGAAGATAATTAATTCATTTGATTTATAGTTTAGAACATTTTAAGTATTTGTAAAGTACTTTAAAACCATACGTGTACGATATTTCAACAAGTTCAAAATATTTGAAGATATGTTTAATCTATCTTTTTTTTTTTTTTTTAATATATGGAAGCGGTTCAATAAAGATTTATAGAGCACCATATACTTAACTTAATTGTATTTTCTACTAGTTTCAATAAAGTCAATCTTTTGGTTTAGTTTTTTTTATTTTCTGTTTCTTTACAGTAATATTTATTATTCACAAATCGATATTAAATAAAATAGCAGAGAAAATATGAACACTCAAGATTTTATTCTTAAAATGAAATTTTTAAAGACTTTCACTTTATATTTCAAAAGTTATCATTGTTGAAATATTTGCAAGGGAAATGCTAAACTTTCTATCGAGAAATTATAATTTCGCTTTTCAATGTTAGTAAATTTAATCAATTTCTAATTAAATCAGAAAACGGAAACGTATATAAAATAAATACGATAAATAATATACTTATTTTATTTTTCTTGATTTAAAAAAACCACAATTTTACATGGGCGAATGTAGTCAATTTTTGAATATGTAGGTGTCAAGATGGATTATTTAATGATAAAAATCGTATTGAACAATAATAATGATTTATTTCAGATGAAAGATTTGCATCATGATCATTTAGTACGATTTTATGGGGCGTGCATAGAACCCAATTACTGTTGGCTTCTGACCGAGTATTGTCCCAAAGGAAGTTTACAAGACATTCTTGAAAACGATCAATTTAAACTGGATTGGATGTTCCGGTACAGTCTGATGCATGATATTATCAAAGTAACTATACATCATATTTACACCTTATTATTATTTACGATTTATCTTTATTTCTGTATATTTTCTACATTTTAGTCTACTAAGAACGACCATGTTTTATCTTTTTCTGAAATACATAATTAAAGATGATTATTATGACGTACAATAAATACAACCACCGAGTTGTAAGATAATACGCAAGCAATTTTATTTTCTATGCTATGAATGCGTGTGCATTGTATTGCTTAAGAACGCGATACCTAAATTAACGCAACATATAGTTAGAAAGAGACCACACTCACCGTATAGTGATATATTGATCTCGGAGTCTCGGAAGTACGTGGTGTCAGACCGCAATTAGTTTCATATACAATGATATGTTGACCACATCATTATTTTGTAGTCTGTTTTTACAATACTCGTGTTTGTAAATGATAGTATATAAATAAAATATATACATAAAAAAAAATAGTTAAACGATAAAAATAATAATAACGATAAGATCTCTTTGTATACATATCATGTTTCATCATATAAAGTTAATTTGGGTCGAAAACAACAGTTTTCAATTACGAGTTATGTATGTTAAACATAATCTGTAAAACAATGTTTAATGTACTTTTTTTTGTTTTATAAACATTTCAGATATTTTTACGCTCTGTGTTTAATATCATATTTTTTCTTTACAGCACACCCGAGGGTTCTTATTATGACCTTAGATGGTTGGTTATTTTTTTTTTTTTTTGTGATTTCAAACCATATTTTTTAAAAGATTCCTGATAGAACAAAGATAACTATTTTGAGTTTTATACACGTATAATATCTTTTGTAAATCCCCGTGGTTATGCTTTTGAAAATAGAAATAAATTTATAAATTATTAAAAAAATGTATAAATTATTTTATTTTATTTTTTTTTTTATTTTATTAGCTTTAGTTTTACTATTACAGCTCAAAAATTATATAGTATAAATAAATATTAAAAGTGTATACATAGAAAAAGTAAACGAAAAGCCTAAAAACTTGGCATTCTATTTACTTTGATTCAATGATATGTGAGATATGAAAATAATAATTAGGGTGTTTCTAAAATGTATTGTCCTGTTAAATTAAAATATGAGTGTATTGATATAATATTTTAGATGCATAACGTATTTATATAGGATATGATACTTTTTTATATTTCTTGAATCCTACTAAAAATCATAATATCACGTATGTATTTCAAAATATGAAAATATCTAATTTGACTTACATTTAATAAGTAATCGAATATTACACGTCTAGAATATATTTGTCATTATTTAGATTTTAAACAAATCAAAAAAGTATTTCATTGATACTAACATTCCTGTAGGTTTATAAAGGAATACAGTTTTTATCATATTTTTTTTTTCAGGGAATGTGTTATTTACATAGTAGCGAACTCCGCTCTCATGGTGGTCTCAAATCTAGCAATTGTGTGGTTGATAGCAGGTTTGTTCTGAAAATTGCAGACTTTGGTCTTAGAAGTCTTCGAAATAGTCATACAAATGAATCAATAAGCGACAGTGATTCTTATGCTTACTGGAGAGGTTTGTACAATTATTATTTTTATTTTCACTGGAAAGTAACAATAAAAAAAATAATATAAATATAGCATGACATATTAACTTTACGTGATTATGGTAATAACATATATATATGTGTGTGTTCGAAAATCCAACAAAAGAATTTCAATTTAAATTGTATATCTCGTTCATGTACGAGTATAGTATGCATGTTAATATGATTCTGATTTTTTATGAGGAAAAGTCGATAGCATTTACCTAGTAAATTGTGCTCTGGAAATATATTACCATTTTAATAAATATTTAGTACAACATTACATATATTGTTATATATATATATATTTATATGTATACATATATTATTTATATAAGTATTATAATAGGTTATTATTATCTTGGTATACTTAATATTATACGACAAATAATTTCTAAACAATGCTCTTATTTAGCTATATTTTGATTCCTAAGTTGATAAATAGATATTATTAATAAATTATTAATTATTAAATTAAATAATTACTTTTGAAATATATTATACAAATTAATATTTGGTTTTAAACAAAACTTACAAAACTATAGGTTAGGATATTATTTATTTTCAAAATAAAATTTTAATATTTTTAGAAAAAAAAATTAAAATTATTTTGTATCGATTTAAAATTTTGAGAAGATTTGATATTCATCACAAAAAAATTCATTAAGATTTTATTATTTTATTGTAATAATTTAAAAATTATTAAATATGTGTTTATGTTATCATTTCTTAAACATCTCAGTATATTTTCTAAATATTTTTACTTCACTTCTTAATACATTTTTTAAATTTTAATTGGGTCAAAAAGTTTAAAGATTTAATAAATAGTTTTTTATAAATTTATATTATTATTATTATTATTATTATTATAACTATTGTTAAAATCATTAAAGGTACTCAGCTACGATTTTTTTTAAGGATTTGCAGCTTACATTTTCATAACATTTGTCAAAATCACAAATATAAATTATTTTATTGCTGAGAATTTATAAAAAAATATTACAAACGAATTCAAAGTTTGTATTGAAATATTCATACTATTACTAAAAAATCTAAAAAAAAAAAACATAATAAATATTAAAAATTTTTTATATATATATATATATACACAATTTTGAACTTTTTTTTATAGATACTCTAAGTTAAAATTTTAATGAAATTAAAATTTTTAAGGAAAAATAACGAATCTAGTTTTTGAAATTTAAAAATATTTCTTTTAGACACTTCAAACCTCTATGTTTTATTATATTTTATATATACATTGACATTTTATACTTTGAGAGCAGCGATGAATCCATTGATTTAATAATGGTGTGTTTTTTTTTTTTTTTTGTGGATGTGTAAGAAGTAAGTTCGCGATAAAATATAAAATGTTTCGATTATCAAAAATGGATGGTAGGGGTGGCTTAAAGTATCAAATTCGATCCGATTTGTACCTTAGAAAGGTCAAACTTAAGTTTCCAATATTTATTTATTTTTATAATCAGGAATAACATAAACTTTGATGCAAATTCAATTTTCGACAAAATCGATTTTTTTTTTGTTTTTTTTTTTTTTAATACAACTCAAAAACAAATAAGCATAGTTACTAATTTTCTCAACATTTTGACTATTTTTGAGCTATTTATTAGCATAAGAAATATTTAATTTATTTTATAATTAACGATCAAAATAATTTGATAGGTATATACATTTTTTCTTAACAAACCTAAAATTTAAAAATTAATACAAGGTTCTTTATTTATTTTTCAACCTATAAATGAAAAATACTTCTACTGCAAAGCTAAATTAAATTTTTAGGATTTTTTTAAGTTATAGTGTTTACAAAATTCGATGTTTAAATGTAAACTAATTATTTCTCTTCAACTAATTTTTGATATTTTATTATATTAAAAAAAAAAAAAAAATACTTTATGTGACTATATACATTATTTAAAATTTTCACCAATATTTTATACCATTTTCATTGTACTATAATATTTTTAAAATGTTTTAACTCTTTTTAAGTTATTTATAGAGACTATACATTTCAATTTTTTTAAGTTTTTTTTTTTATAAATGTCAATAAAAAAATTATTCATTGGGTCGTAGTTTTTGAAAATTAAGTATTAGATCTTATATAAATTGTTCACATATATATATATTATATCAATATAAATATTAAAAATACATAGGCAAATTTTTTTCTCTTGTAGTTTCAATTTTTATGTAACTTGTAAAAATCTTAAAAAAATGTCAAACTATTTATAGTTATGAATTCGTAAAAAATAGACTTGGTAAACAAGGTAGAAACATAGATATTGAATGGTTTAGAACAGCTTACCAATTTTCTTATCTTAAGGTGCCACGCTCATTATTAAAAACATACTCGAGAAGTATAAAAAATATAAACAATGAAAAGAGGATCTCAACATAAACCACCTGATTGGAACAAGTCTAAGTCCCAGCCTAAATAATAAGACCACCACAATTTAAATTTTAAAATTAAAAATATTAAATCTTAATAGCTAAAAATGATTAAAATGTACATAAATATCTAATTATTTAATTTAAAATTTTATTTTTTTAAAAAAATATAATATATATGTAAATATAATACCAATAGCCTTGGTAGTTAAAACTGAAATTATATAATTTCAGACCAATAAAAAAGAAATTCATAACTATTTTTTTTGTTTAAACTTTTAAAAATTTAATAATAGATTATTTGTAAGTATTTCATACTGAAACGGTAAAATTTAAAAAAAACTATAAAGAAAAATATTTTTTATAAATATTTTAAGTTTTAATTTTGATGAAACTATTCAATTGAACAATAAATAGCGATATGTAATTTTGCTAAAATTTAAAAACATTTTTAAATTTAATGTGTTTTATATTGAATTAATTTTACGCAATGACTATTTTCAATTTTGATTTATTTTAAAATATTATCTGTTTATAGAAATTATGAATCTAATTTTACTGTTTTCCGGTTATAGAAAAAATGTTATTAAATTTTGATTTATTAATATATATATTTATACCGTATTATATTAACTGATATATAAAAATAAAGTACTAATTATTTGATGAATTTCATATTTTCAGAAAAAAAAAATATCAATTTACTATAATCTTATAAGTAAAATAAATGATTTTAATAGTTGTATTAAAAAAACATACCACTTAGTAATATGCGTTGGCTAATAAACCGTTTCTGCTTTGAATTATTTTTATATAAAATAATTTGTTATTGAATTGAAATTTAACACATTCATTATAGTGATTCATTCGACATCTAATATACAGCAGAGCAGTACCTACTTGCATACCTTTTTTAATTCAATGTTATCGGTAAAATTAAATTTAATCCACTGCATTGCTAATCGTAAGATAAATTATTATTACTTCAATAACAATTTTAAAATAGCATAACTTTGTAATATAGGCTGACAGACCATCTCCGCTTATAATCATTATTCTTAGGTTATATTTTAACATTAAATTAAAATTTAACAATCCATTTCAGTTATTAACTCAATAACGTAGTACACTCTTTACCTATAGTACAACAGAGCAATTACCTAATTTTCCCCATTTTTGTTAATTAAATAAATTTAACGGAAAGCACTCGATTATTTAAAAATTTATTATTTCCAAGTTAAATGTAATTTAAAATGATGGATGTTATTTTTATTTTAAACTTTCTTACATGAATGCACATAAATTTTAATTTTGCGGTAAATATATTGATATTTTTCCACGGATTTCCGTTATGGGTAAATACATTTTTATAAGACCGATAAAAAAAAATATCAATGCCGTTTTGGAGCCATAAAAATTTGAAATGTTTGCATATGTAATGTCCGGTACTAAAACTACAGTCTATATAACGACACGAGTTTAGAAAACCGTTGTGGAAATGCTCTATCAGTATTTTCCGTCGTATACCAATAAATAATTTAATAAGTATTACATTTAGTGAGTGACAAGTTTTTCTTTTAATTTTATTCTGTGATATATAAAAATAATAATTGTCATCAAACCGTGTATTAAATGTCTACATAATTCAATATACCTAATATGAATCAGTGTTTTTACAATTTGTGTTATAAAATAATTATGAATAAAATTGCCTAAGTATGCTATTACTCCATAGTTAAAATATAACAACTATAAATTTGAAAATATATTTAAAATATAATATAATTTATAATGCATTTCTAATGATTTTCGTGCATTTGACAACTATAATGTTAACTTTAGGCATATTTCTCCAATATTATTTTAAATAAATCTAGCATGTGCTATAACTATATTTTTTTATCACGTACCTACTTAAGTTACATTCCAAAAATAACTTTAAGAATTCGTATTATTTTATGTTAAAATTAAATTAATTTTATTTGTGTTATAGAGAAAAATAATAGCATCTTAAAGTTTATTTTATTAGTATAGATATTAATTTTTTTGTTTCTTTATCAAAATTCTATTGGTTTTACTTTGTAACTTTAAATTACATAGTTTTTTTTTTTATAAATAATCAATAAAACAACGTATTTTTATAGGCTATAAATAGTAACTACACAAATAATATTTTACAAAATATTATAATGTAACTATTTGAAAATAGAATAAACATTAGGTAAGAATAAAGAATTATTCTATTCACTATACATAATTGAATACATATTATTTTGTACAGTTTTATGTACGTATATATATATACACACACACATACACAATTGTAGGCTTTGAGATTGTGCACATTTGTTGTTTTAACTAAAAATAAGTTAAACGTATTATAAACCATTTACCTACTGTACAATTTGACTAATTGTCATTAAATTATACAACCTGTAAACGTTTTTTTCGCTTGTATATTGAATTTTACTTATATAAATTATTTTTACATTTTTGAAAATATTATTTCAAACATATCGTATATATATGCACACTAATGTTACAATAGATGATATAGTTGTTGACCGTTAGCTAAATCCGTTAA